CCAAAAATAAATTATTTCGTTATTAAACTTAAATTAAATTATAATAAAAAATAAATTAAAGAAATTAAATAAAAAATGATAACTTTTAAATAGTTGATTTGATATTAACATTAATATATTTTTTTTTCAAATTTTTATGATATCTTCAAATTTATATTTTATTCAAAAATAAAATCATTATTGCTTTTTTAAAAACACATAAAATCGTATTATAACATCGACAAAGACAAATAATAAAATAGAACATTAAAGTCGAAATGTGTCTCGCTGCATTGCGCGAATACTCTTCTAGTATATATATATACAAAGGATCTGAAAACAGAATTTTACAGTTAAAGTTAATTCAGAACAAAAATGATGCAGGGATACAAGCAAACAAGGTTGTGACCTGGCTCTGTAGCAAGATCCCATACTTCTGCCACTGATTCAATGGCACGTTCTTGAGGAGCATGTAGAACTATTGTTGTGGAACCCACAACACATAAAGCACAACCAAGAACTCCAAAAATATGCAGCCTCTCTCGTAAAATTATATGTGCAAGTACAGCGCTGCAATAAATGTTTGAATGTCATGTAAAGCGGGAAAGAATTAGTTCAAACATAAAGTTTCTATTTTTTTATCTTGCCTTATTATAATGCTGAGCGCCCCAAGAGGAGTGACCAGGATAGCTGGTGCAAATGCATAGGCTGCAAAATTTGCAACCTCTCCAACAACCACTGTAGAAACAATGAATGTCAGTTAGATCATATTAAGTATAAGAACCCAAGTAACTTATATTGTGATATATTAGCCTCTAATATGCAGGACTGATGGTTATCTACTTTCCTCCATGCATGTTTACGCTAATTGCTTTATTTGGTTACATATGCACTCAAGAAGTTTAACCCCATTGAGGTGAGAAATACTTGATGGTGAAAAGCACTAAACACTCGTTGGTCTTTACTCATTGGTCTTCAGGGCATAAAGATAGAGAACATCTAATTTAGGCCTCATGAGAATTGCTAGTTGATCACTGAGGCTAATTTTGAGACTTACTGACTTGTGGCAATCAATAATTTGCTTATAAACTACAGACAGATTCAACAATGAAAACAATTGACCTAGCTTAACACGGCTTTGTGTTAGTAGCAGTAGTCGATGCCAATAATTACAGTAAATGATGGTAGAGTGTCAATTGATATTATAAATGCTGTACATCTTGATTTGAAGTACAGCTTAATGTGACAATTTCTGAATTTTTCTAACAGCCTGGAAAGGCTATAAAGTCATCTAGAATAATGGTAGTTTCTTTGAGTGATAGTATTTATTACACCTGTTCCTTCTAGTAGTGGAATTTGGAACTCGTGTCAATTGTTGATATCCTAACTAACTCTGACAGCAGAAATTACTTCAACTATATCAGAGTTTGTGCCATATCTTCAGCTATTTTCCTCTCTTCTGCTTTGTTACTCATGCATTCTCAAAGCTCATACAATTTGGTTCCTGTATAATTTTAGGCAAAAATGGATTTCTGAACCTCCCTCACAAAACATCCATGCTTATTTATCAGAAGCATGATGGCTCTAAACACATTAGGTTATCATAAAAGATATACTTGCAACATAAGCATAGATTCATCTAATATTAAAATTTATAACCAAAGATCAGTGAAGTATCCTATTTCTGATCAAAGACACGTCCTCTTTTGTTGCATATATCCTTCTACAATGGCTAATTAGAAAGAAAAGAACCAAATCTTCCAGATATTAAATTCATGAACTATGAACCATGATGTGTGCAGAGAATAGAAGACATGGAAACAATCATGTAACCCAAGGGCCAGGTTTGACCTCTTGGTGCCGAGCAGTTCCCAGTTTGGGTTCAGAAGACTTTGAAGCTCGGATGTTCAATTTATAGACTTTCTGGTATTATTCCACTAGCATTTCACGTGTGTATATGCTAATGACTGTTGGTGATTTGTATCACCAATATCAATTAAGTGTAATGGGATTAATTTGTTGACCAATGTAATTTTGATAAATATTGAACAAGTAAGGATGGTGCGAAGTGCACACTTGTTTGAGTTTATTTCGATTTAAAGTATACCGTTATTTAGGGGCGAAGCCCCTAAATGACGGGGGTCCGGGGGCAGCGCCCTTGGCTGGAAATTTTTTATTCGGGTTAATGTTACTATATGGAAAATGCACGAAAATCCGAATTTGTGATTTTGAACCCGGTTTTKGSCCTGTTTTTTTTAAACCCGGTTTGGTGGTTCTGAAACTACCTTTTGACAGTTTTCTAATCCTTTTTTGTATCGGTCATTCGATTTTGAGGGTACAAATAGATTCATAACATCGATTCTTTGTTCGAATTACTGAATTTTATCCGATTGAAGTTTCGATTATATCATCGAAATATTTCAATTTGAAAGTGAATCACAACTTTCAGTAATCCAAGCAATCGAAACACCCATAAATTCTAACAAAGATTGAAATATTCTGTGAAAATGGCGATTGGAGAATCTGTGGAGGACATGACCAGTAAGTTCGACAAATTGGCGAAGTTTGAAGGGAAAGATTTTCGTAAATGGCAGAAGAAGATGCATTTCCTCCTCACAACCTTGAAAGTGGTGTATGTTCTAAGTACCCCTGTGCCGGAATACGCTGAAGATGAAACCTTGGAGGTTTCTAGGAAAAGATCGAAGTGGGAGAACGATGACTACATCTGCCGTGGCCACATCTTAAACGATATGTCTGACTTTGTTTGATGTTTACCAAAATGTCGAATCTGCAAACGAATTGTGGGATTCACTGGAATCCAAGTATATGGCAGAAGATGCTTCTAGAAAGAAGTTTCTAGTCAGTAATTTCATAAATTACAAGATGGTTGATACAAGGTCTGTCATGGAACAATATGATGAATTGTTAAGGATTTTGGGACAGTTTGCTCAACATAATCTAAAGATGGATGAAGCCATCTCGGTTGCTATGATTATTGACAAACTGCCTCTTTCCTGGAAAGAGTTTAAACATACTCTGAAACATAACAAGGAAGACTTAACTTTGGTTCAACTTGGAAGTCACTTTAGGATTGAAGAGTCTTTGAGGACTCAAGAACTTGACAATAACCCTAAAGGTAAGAATCAAGTTGGCTCTTCTTCTGTGAACATGGTGGAAGGTGATGGATTAAAGAATTCCAATAAGTTTAAAAACAAAAGAAAGCACAAAGATGGAGATGACAAATTTTCCAACAAAAAGCCGAAACTGGCATGTTGGAAGTGTGGCAAACCTGGTCATTTCAAAAAGGATTGTCGTGTTCGTAAAGTGAACAAAGACGTTGTTGGTCCAAGTGGGTCTAAGGATCCAGAAAAGCAACAAGGTCAGAATTGTGATTTAACACATAATTTTAATTATATTCAGAATTATGTTTCTGTAATTTCTGAGGCATTTTATATGCAGGATGACAATGTTACTTGGTGGGTTGATTCTAGTGCAACAAGTCATGTTTGCAAGGATCTTCGTAGGTTTAAAGACCGTCAACCAATTGAAGATGGATATGTTATAAAGATGTGCAATGTTGCAATGGAACCAATCAAAGGATTAGGACGTGTTTTACTTAAGTTCACTTCTGGAAAATGTTTATGTTTAGACAATGTGTTGTATGTACCAGGGATTCGAAAGAATTTCTTGAATAGAAATTGTGTTAAATAATTGTGGCTACAAACAAGTGTTGAAAAGTGACAAGTATATCTTGTCAAGACATGGTACTTTTGTTGGATTTGGTTATGTATGTAATGGTATGATTAGGTTGAATCTAGATTATCCTTCTTATGATAATTCTGTTTGCATGATGACTTCTAGTACCAGCAATAACTTAAGTTAATCAAAATTATGGCATGCTAGACTAGGACATGTTCATTATAAACAATTAAAAGATATCTCTAAAATGAGTTTAATACCTGCTTTTGACATGAATAATGAGAAGTGTAAAACTTGCATGTTAACAAAGATTACTAGACAACCTTTTAAGGATGTTAACCGAGAAAGCAATGTATTAGAACTCATTCATAGTGATTTATGTGATTTTCATGCTACACCTTCACTAGGAAATAAAAAGTATGTCATTACTTCTATTGATGATGCATCTAGGTATTGCTATGTATATTTATTGCATACAAAAGATGAAGCTCTTGATAAATTTAAAATTTATAAACAAGAAGTAGAGCTACATAGAAATGGCTTTATAAGAGTTTTGCGTACTGACAGAGGTGGTGAGTATTATGATCTAGTTTATTTTGAATCTACTGGTATAATACATCAAACCACGGCTCCTTACACACCACAGCAAAATGGTGTGGTTAAAAGGAAAAATAGAACATTGAAGGAAATGGTTAATTCCATGTTATCCTATTCTGGTCTAAGTGATGGCTTTTGGGGTGAGGCTATATTGACAACCTGTTATATCTTGAATAGAACTCCAAATAAAAGGAGTAAAAATACCCCTTATGAAATTTGGTGTAATAAGGTACCAAATTTGAGTTTTCTCAGAGTTTGGGGTTGTAGAGCAGTTGTAAGGCTCACTGAACCCAAAAGGAAAAACTTAGGTGAGAAAGGTGTAGATTGTATCTTCATTCGGTATGTTGAGCATTCCAAAGCATATAGATTCTATGTTATAGAATCTAATGACTCTGTGTCTGTTAACATTGTTATAGAGTCAAGAGATGCTATATTTGATCAAAAGAGATTTACATCTATACCTAGACCAAGGGATATGATTCAGAAATCTTCTAGCAAAACCACAACTCAAGCTGAAAATGTAATTGGTGGAACTAATTCCGTACCTGGACCGTCTGAACCTAGGAAAAACACTAGAGCTAGAAAAGTTAAGTCTTTTGGATCTGATTTTCAACTTTATCTAGTTGAAGGAACAAGGGATTCTTAAGAATGATGGTGAGAGATATTCATTTGTTTCATATATTTTTCTATCAATACATCAAACACAACCATCGAATAAAAACAAAGATCGAAACTACAAATATGGAAACACAATAAGAAGAATACGTAAATTACGCAGAACCAATAAGGCAATGATTGGGCATGATCAATGGAGGCAATAATGATTGAAAATAGGAGATTCTAAGACTCCCCCTCAAGTTGGAGCATGTAGGTTTCTAATGCCCAACTTGTCAAGTAAGAACTTGTTGAGTGCCCAATCCTTTTGTGAGCTGGTCCGCAATTTGCATGCTAGTGTGAATACGTAGGGGATGTACTTCTTGAGACTCAACTCTCTCTCCCGAACAAAATAGCAATTCATCTTTACATGCTTGGTTCGTTCGTGGAAAACAGGGTTATTAGCGATGTGTCTGGCCGCCTGATTGTCACAAAAAAGAGGAGTTGGTTCAGTCAATCTTTAGCTCCTTGAGAAGCCACCTCATCCATAAAATTTCGCTAACCGTGGAGGCCATGGACCTGTATTCTGCTTCAGCAGAGGAACGTGATACCACATTTTGTTTCTTTGTCTTCCATGAAATGGGTGCTCCTCCAAGAAGGAGAAGATATCCCGTTCTAGATCTCCTGGTAATGGGGCAGCCAAGCCAATCAGAGTCGCAGTATGCGGTGAGATTACAACCACCATCTTGAGGTAAAAGAATTCCTTGCCCAGCTGTTCCCTTTAGGTACCGTAACACTCGGTGTGCTGCATCCATGTGACTCTGTCTCGGGTCAGCCACAAATTGGCT